GTGGTCATTTTGCAAAGGCTAATCTGTTTCTCTTTCTAAGAATCTCTCAGATTAATTTGGCAGTTCTGCCATTTCACATCTTGAAAGCAAGTGCTGCAAAACCTCCATTGTGTTTCTGTGCCTCCATTAGAGAGGTCATTATTAGATGTGCCCCACTTAAGTCAAAGAAAGCAGAATTATTCAGTTTTTTCAGTTAGTATATTCCATTTCATGTCAAAGGTTCAGGATTGGTATGTCTTAATTTAAAAAGAGTTTAAGATGCTCTGCTTTTGGAATTTCTGAATCATGTGAAAAGGAATCAAACAGAAAAGATGAGCCTAATGTACTTGGATCTATGAATTGTGGCCTTTTGCACATAAAATATAGCAGCTGTTACACAGATACTAGAAGATACTCAGCCCTGTTCATATGTTACTAGAGCAGAATAACCATTGAAAAAAATAAATAATTTGGCTGTTTTCTACATCAGTTCTTTGAGGCCCCAGTGTTTTTTGGAGACCTTTTTGTATTGGCACAGAGGTATAGCTGTTACAGGGTGGCATTATCCCCCCATAAGTATTCTTCATTCCCTGAATTTCTACCATTGCAGTAACTTAAAACATCAGTTGTTCAGTTAGAAATGTAGTTTAGGCATCCAAAGAAAAGAAGCAAACAATTTACCAAGAAAATGAGAACATACCAAAGATTAGAGTTCTAGGTGTTGATGATTTTCAGTGTTTCACTCTCTGCAGTGCTAGAAATTTGGAGACTGTGAAGGAAAATCTGCATAGCTACACCCTTGTGGTGGCAGTATCATGTGCACTAGCCATAGAATTGCTTCATCATCTAGGCCTGTCACTGGAACATGTCGGATTAACAAATGCCCCACACAGTTTAATCCAGCCTGCCAGCCAGGTGCAGGGCTGGCCAGAGTCTTGACAACTTTTCTTCTTTTTGCAGGTACAGGCAGGTAGAATAACTGTGGGGCTCACTTAGCCTCTGGTGAACCACCATGCGTGGTTAGTAGCTGAAAGAGCAGAAAGAATTAAAAGTTGCATAGCACTTTGTTATAGCAATAGTATAAAGGAGGGAGGTAGTTACTCTTTACATTGTAGTCTGACCCCCATATCTGCGGGATTGGTAACTGAGGTTTCACTTACCCATGTCTGGGAAAAAGATCTTTCTAGACATTTGAAGATCCTCCAGTGTCACTCTATGGTCATCTTCTGCTGGAAAATAGCACTTGCTGTTAACTGCAGTTTCTGCTTATCTGTGGGACTCATGGGAACAGATCTTCCACAGATACTGAAGTCAGACTGTAACTATTGTGCTCACATCTTTCCATTTGTTAATGCTATGGGAAATTGCCCCCTGCTCCCACCAGCATTAAAGGTAAGAGACAAATTTTGGATTCGTGTACCCAAATATCAGAAATATTCCGGGGGCCATTTGATTATAGCCCTAAAATAAACATTGTGGGCCTCATTTGGGAATCTTGGTTTAAGCAGGATTGTTTCCCAAACCTTCTAGTTAATTTAATGGAACACAGTCTACTAATCCACATATAACAGTCAATTCAAGGCTTTCGTAACGCTCTCGTCAATGCTATCTTGCGATGTCTGGGGATTTTTGGAGTCGCAATCCAAAAGAGTAACTTCCCAAACTCTAAAGCAGGGGTAGGCAACCTTTTTGAGCCGGGGGCCGGATTGCTGTCTCTCAGACAATTGGGGGGCTGAAACACCATGAATAAATGAATAAATAAAAATTAAAAATTAAAAAAACATTAAAAATTAAAAAATATGCATGCACACTCTCTCAGCCCCAGAAAAGCCATGGCAAAACTCCTGTGGAGATTTTGCTAAGAAAACCCCAAGAACAAGTAATAACAACAATAATCAATATCATCATGGCAGGTGGTGGCGGGGGGCGGCAGCAGCGGCAGGACCAGCCTGGGGCTGGTCCAAAGGCCTCGGGGGGGCGCATTCGGCCCATGGGCCTTAGGCTGCCTACCCCTGCTCTAAAGTTTCAATTGCTTAATTTGGACAGGAAACTGTCACTTTATTGACATGGCTGGTGGGATGTATTTGACTTGGTGCAAATCACATTCTCATCAGGATCACATTTAAAAACATGTAAGTAGAGCTTGACCATAAAATCCAAAGTTTAGTCCAGCAAGGACAAAGAAACATACTTCTGTATATAGACCCCTGTTTTGGATCAAGATCTGTGCAATGAAAAAGTTATGTTAGGAAAAGAAATTATCCATCCATTTGCACCCAGGGCAGTCAGTCTGGCTTCACCATACTCTGAAATGATGGGCAGTCCAACAGCTTGGTAATAATTAATTAAAAATTAATTTATTACACCTTATTCATTAATAATTTTAACAACAATTTTTGTTATTTTTGAGGAGCAATGAAAGTTTCTCATTATTTCATAACTTTGGGGATTCATCCAAAATCCACAAAACAGCAATACCTTTATTGGCAAACCAAAATGCACAAAATATATGTTGCAAGCTTTCATAACACTCTCGTCAATGCTATCTTACGATGTTTGGGGATTCTTGGAGTCGCAATCCAAAAGAGTAACTTCCCAAACTCTAAAGCAGGGGTAGGCAACCTTTTTGAGCTGGGGGCCGGGTTGCTGTCCCTCAGACAATTGGTTTCTTCATCAAGTAAAGATGTTAAAGGTCATACAGGAGAAAAAAAGTTCAGGTGTTGTTGGAGGGACATTTATGCAGGCCAGCTCCACCTCTTTCTGGCCATGTGGGTACTCCAGGAAGATTTTTTAAGTTCCATTAGCAAGACAAGAAGAGATGCTTCTCTTGTGATCCAAGTTGCCTCATTCCTTTGTGAAGCCACAAGTTCCTTTTTAGAGTCATCAATGACTGAAAGTGAACCCCCAAATCTACCTCTTAAGCCAGACAGTCCTCCAACTGAAAGGTTTCAAAGGCATTACAGATCTGGGTGCTAGGAAATGATGACTGCACCACTGTCCTGATCATGCAGCTTGTTGAGATAAGAAGTTGCAGTGTGTGTGTGTGTGTGGGGGGGAGTTCTTTCTAGCTGCCTGGGTCAGTGTGCCACACAGCCAGGACAATGCTGCAGTTGTCATTTCCCAGCACCCCAATCTGCAACCCTTTGGAAATTCTTTGGTTGAGGCACTGCATAGTTTAAGAGGTAGGTTTGGGGGGAGTAGCATTGGCAGAAGTAGCTAAAATGACGGAGCTCCAATGTGATAGCTACTTCTGCCCATGCAGGATCTTGGCTTCTTGTCTTTAAAAACTTAACAAAAGCTTTTAAATGTTATAACACAAATGAATTATTTTTCTTTTATGATTTAATGATAATGCGGTAGTACTAACACTAACATTTTAAAAGTCAAGCACAACATTGGGGCTGTACAGATGGCCCCTAAGGGGTGGCTCTGTGCCGCTCCTGGGAGTGCCAGATCGGGGCTGCGGCAAAGGCACGCCCCAGCCCTGATCTGGCACTTTGCCGCTCCAAAAAGAGCTAACAAATGCCACTCCTTTTTGGAGTGGCAAAAACCCGCCCTTGCTGCAGCAGCGGTGGCTTTTGTGCACTCCTTTAGCACAGCGTGTCTGTACGCTGCACCAAGGGAGTGCACTGATGCCACCCGCCATGCAGTGGGGCACTCGGTGTGATGGCGGCATTGGAAGAATGGCAGGGTGGCCAGTGTGTGGTCACCACGGCCCGACTCCACCCCCAGGCTGGCCCTTTTGGCTGGCTTGTACAGGGCGTTAGTCAATTCTATGGGGCAGAGTGTGTGTATGTGCCTTCCAGTCTCCTTTTGATTCATGGTGGCCCCATTAATTTTGTAGGGTTTTATTTATTTTTATTTATTTATTTACTGTATTTATACCCACTGTTCAGCCAGAAAGGCTGTCAGAACAGCTTACAGATAATTAATTAGACATTTCCCTGCTTACAAGCTAAAAAAGACATGACACAAAAAGAGAAGTGAATGGCAGTGAGGAAGGGGAATAAGTCCAGTGGTTCTTCTCTCCCTCCAAGGCCTGGGCCGTGGCAGATGGGCTGAAGGGAGGGCTCTTCTTCTTACTTTAGGCCAGGCCTGATGAAGCTGGCTGGCCTTTCTCTCCCTCTGAGTCCGGATGATATCAGATGGCAAAAAGGATTCTGAGAATCCATTCCTGAAATGTATAAGCAATTTCAGACCATCTTAATAGAGTTGCTGCCTATCATAGCTGCCCCCGTCCACTCTTATTGGAAGTATTAAACTTTCCAATGCTCCCTGTATGCCGGCTAGACTTTAACATTGGCAAGAGGGGTGGGCGTGGGGCAAAGTTTGTCGCAGTGATCTTCAGGAACTTTAGTTCTTCTTCAGTCTGGTGTGCCCTCTCCTCCAAGGAATGGCCAAGGATCTAGCCATGGAACATCCTCCTCCTCCTCCTCCTCCTCCTTATTATCTCACCTTTCTCCCAATATTGGGATTAAAGGCAGCTAACAACATATTTAGACAGAATAAATTAAAACAATACAAAAGTATTAATAAAACTATAAATATAAGATTTAAAAAACAGTTAAACAATATCTAAAGTTACAAACACAAAACATTAAAAATATTAAAAATGCATTCAAAGACTGTATACCAACCTTAAAACAGCATTAAAAATCCAACCCTAATTAGTTTATAAAAGCCTTGACAGCACAGAATATTTTGACCTGACATCAGAAGGAGAGCAAGGATGGGACCAGGAACAGCTACTAAGAAGACTCTTCTTTGTCCCCACCAAAATTGCCTGAGAGGGTGATGGGACAGAGAGAAGGGTCTTTCCAGACAATCTTAGAGCTCTAATGGGCTCATAAAAGAAGATGTTGCTGTTGCTGTGTGTCTTCAAGTTGTTTCCGACTTATGGTGACCCTAAGGCAACACTATGATGTGGTTTTCTTGACAAATTTCTTCAGAGGGTGTTTGCCATTGCCATCCTTTGAGGCTGAGAGAATGTGATTTGCCCAAGGTCACCTGGTAGGTTTACACAGCCAAGCTGAGATTTGAACCCTGCTCTCTAGAGTCCTAGTCCAGCACTCAAACCACTACACCATGATGGCTCCAAAGGGAACTAGAGTCCTTCATGTAAGCTGGACCCCAGGTGTTTAAGGCTTTATAGGTCAAAACTAGCACTTTGAATTGTGCCCAAAATTGGACTGGCAGCCAGCAGAGCACAGGGGTGGTTTTGCTAATATGAGCTGATCTCCAATGTCCTCTTTTTCCTGCTTCTCAAAGTAGGGGTGGGCTGTCCAGTTGTTGTTGGGCTACTACAACTCCCATTAAGCCAGCATAACTGTAGGCGAGGGATGTTGTAAATTGTAATCCAAATAAGAGTGTCACAGTTTTAGGACCCTATCCCTTCCATAAAGAAAGATTAAAGTGGATAGTGTATAACATCTGTTGGGGGAAGACAGGCTCTCATGTATAAATAATCTCTCATTTATCTGGTCTTTTTTGAATATATGTTTGCTATCTTCTATAACTTCAGAATAATTTACCTTTTTATGTCTTTACAGGGCACAGTGTGCTCTTGTAATCGTTAACTAATGTATACAGTTAAGGCTTCCCAAGAAAATGCTTGCACATCCAAAATGGGATATTTTTCTTTTGGCATTTAAAGACCAGCTGGAATGTTGGAATAATAGTAGAAAATGCTTATTTGAAAGAGAGCTATTTGATCCTCCAATTAATCTGAAATAACCCATCAGGAATGAACTGTGCCAGAGATTATTAATTCAGGATTGTAAACTATAGAAGCAGTCAGTCAGTACCATTTAAAAGTCAGGTGTGGAATACTAGGTCAGACACTTGTCACGTTGCCTGCCAGAATGTAGCATGGTCAGTTTTGTTTTTCCTTCAAAGAGATTAATTAGTATTCCTTTTTTTTAAATAATGTTTATTGAACATGCTACTTATTTAGCTTAATAATATATCCCTCCCTCACCTGCTCCAGAAGGCTGATGGACCTTCTGGAGAAGATTTGTGCAACATCTTGGGAGACTCAGGAGCAAGGAAAACAAAAGAAATTCCTATTGTGTGAGAGGAGGCTGGCTTACATATTATATAGATTTTAAAAAATAAAATGCACTAAAATACTCAATCATTAAAAAGATTAATTCATTTCTGCATTAATTCTGCTAAATTTGTGACTATCTACTTTGGCTCAACCCCAGAGCTTTGCATGTGACCCAGAATGCAAGGTCTGGGAGCCCTTGCATGTGACCCAGACAGTATAGTCTAGGAGCCCTTTGACACTACACAGTTATAACACTATGATTCCACTATAACTGCCATGGTTCCATCCTATAGAATCCTGGGATTTGCATTTTAGGGAGAGGTTTTTAGAATGCTCAGCTAGACACTTCCTCTAGCATCTCACCAAATTACAAATCCGTGAGTTGTTCGCAGTATGCTCTTTGGCTTTGGATACATATCTCACGATCCTGTATGATGCAGTTGTGGCAGTTAAATCATTGTAGTATAAAAGAGACCTTAATCAGCTGGCAAAATAGTTGTCTAGTGTACGTACTACACAGCTTGATTTTAGGCATAGGTATTCCAATGTATGTCTTTGTTCCATGTAAGAATGCTTAATGTGGCAACCTTAATTAAACTGTACTTAAACAACTCCTACATACTTTCTTTTGCTGACCAAAGTCTCTTTTATAATGTGTGCTGCTAAATGAGATTGCCTTACTAAATGCTTGTTGAATTCATCTTGTCATTACAGAGCCTGGACAGGTCAACAGAGAGGGCCAGGCAGCTGCAGACAATGGACATGAAGACCATCAATCCTTAGGGACTAGCAGACTGCTATATCACATTACTGATGGAGATAATCCTCTGCTGTCTCCTCGCTGCTCTATCTTTAGCCAAAGTCAGAGATTTAATTTGGACCCTGAATCAGCTCCTTCCCCACCAAGTGCTCAACTGTTCATGATGTAAGCTTACTCATGTTGTATTTTCCACAACCTCTGTAATCATTAATGGTTCCTTCTTACTATATAGCAAGTGTCCCATATGATCCTATATGTTGACAAGAGATGGTGGTGATAGTGGTAGTTGGGCCCGAATAGTGCTTAATTCTTCAAAGAAACATAATAATAATGTTGGAACATTTCTTTAAAAAAATAAAATAAACCAGTGATACCTCATATATACACACTCTTACTGTGAGCTAATCTAAGAATAACATTGCAGTATATCCAAATATTCCCTTTAAAATGCTTTCATAGAAATCTGAATCTGGGAAGTAATGCATTACATGTAGTGATGCTACCTGTAACACATTACTTTCTAATGGCAGTGAGATCGTACAAAAGGCCATTTTTTGCAAATGAGATCATGATTGCTAACATTGTTATGCCCTCCTGTGCAACAAGTAACATTTACCAGTTTCTTATTATTGTTGAGGTGAGTAAGGCTTTGATGGCATGGGCCAAAAGGCCTATTCCTGTTCGGGCATCATCCTATTCAGAGAATGTACATCCCAAAACTTGGTTCTGGTGCAAGCAGTTTGGATGATATCTGGCACATTCCACATCAGAATCTGGGTATAACACCTGTTACTCTGGATCTCTCAGGAAGATCTAGAGACCGCCGTTCCTGAGCCATTGCAGCTGTTTACATGGATGTCCCACTGAGACACCCAGTGCTTTTGCCACCACTGTGGGTTGCTCACTCTGGGGGCAAAATTAGGCATCCAGCCATGTGTATATAGCCACCACAGCACGGGAATGGAGGCCCAGGTAACAGGGGAGGGCCAGGATACTACAGGTCTGCCCTGGAGTATCCTGGTCCTTGCAGACAGGACCTGAGTGTTTTTGGGCCATTTGCTTACCTTTTTAGATCCCCTCCAAAGATAGAAAATAAGATCATAAATTATCAAGGGATTCTTGCAATATCCCTATTAGTTATGTTTGGGGGTTCTGTAATGCATTACCGTATATACCAAATTTAGTTTTAAAATATAAGTTGATAAACCTTGTGGAAATCCTAGGATGTTTTCAGATTCTGTTGGAAGAGTCATATACTTAAACTATGCTCCAGTTCATGTATAAACAGCAGTTCCCCCCATCTGGGGCAGGCCTATTATTATAACCCCATGAAACCCCAGTGCTATGTCATGTGGAAGTTGATTTTGAAGCTATATTCCATAGT